TATTTAGGGGGGAGGAGGGCCTGAAACTCCTTCCACTATTAATCCCATCTGCACGACTTACAAGCCTCTGGCCCTCTGCCAACCATCCTGCCAAATTAAAAAAATAAAATAAAACCAAAATGACCATTTCCTTGATGGATGCATGATGCAGGTGGAAGGGCAGTTTTGGCTGATTTATTCTTCTCCTCAGTCCTGCAGACAGTTAATCTCCATGAGGCAGAAGGGGATGGCTGGCAGGTCAGGGGGAGGGTTGCTGTATTTTGATGTTGAAATGCAAGTATTCTGTCTGCATGTTTTTATATGCTTATATTTGGGGCAGGGAGGGAAATCAGGATCTTGGAAGGGGAAAGAGATAAGATGTTAGGGGGTGAGATTTAAGACAAGATCATAGGGTTCAATGGATCAATTTGGGGAACAGATAACTGATGAAGCTGGTGGTGACTTGGAGTCACTCAGAATGGAAATGGGTTTGCCTGATGGGGATGGGGGGGCGGTGGGGTACCAGTAGTGATGGTGGTAGGGAAAAGATCAGCTGAGTTCAAGAAATTTAGATTTCACACAGACATAGATCTAAATTTCATAGATAAAGGACAGTTTGGAGTTCATAGTAGACCAACCTCAATGGAAGAATCTGAAGTTCGTCTACTAAAGAACCAATAATGGTCAGTAAAGTGGGCTTGCTGGGCCAAATCCTGTGAGCCAAAGAGAAATAATTTCAATTCTAATTCAATTGCCAAGAAGGGGAATGGAATAACCAATGCCTCATCTTGAGGAGAAAGTCGGTCCCATAATCCTAGATCTCTTACTCAAGGTGACCTGCTAGCTGACTTAAATGGGAATCTGAATCTTAAGATATAAGGCCAAGATGCAATTTAGAAGAAGGGAGATCTGGGTTGCTAATTACCTTTTCGCCCACTACCCTAAAAAAAAAAAAAAAAAGTGGCCCTTGATTGTATCCACATAAATGTACTTTAAACAGCAACAGAGACAGAGTGGGTGGAGAGAGAATGTGGATTACTGAAGTGTGTTAAAAGTAGAATTTGGGTAAAGAGGTGAAGAAAGATATGCTTAGAGTACCACGGGAAGGGATGGAAGATAAGAAAGGTCTAGACTGAAGGGAAGACTGGTTTGTTAGGGGTTTTATGTTTACACATAGCAGTTATTGAATGAAAACCACATAACCTATATCTTTGACCTGCTGCTTGATAGATGTTTTCATACTGGGGGTGGGCAACATTTTGGATGTTAAAGAATAAAAGTTTGCTTTAATATACAATTTTGGGAGGAAAATTTAATTTTTTTTTTAATTGGTGAAAGAAGAGGGAAGACTTTTTTATTTCTTCCTTCACCCACCAATGTGTGAGATGTAGATTAATTTCCTGCTTTGTGGAGCATTATTTGTGCTTCTGACGGCACAAGGTTGAGGGGCCAAAGCAGAATGTCATACTTCCGATCCATTTAGTCTTCTCTCTTCCTGGGTATGTGTGAGTAATGAATTTTGTTTCTGTGAGAATCAAATCATGCCATTCTTCTAAAACAAAGCAGAGTTTGTTATCTAAATTCATTCTTCCCAAACTGGTATCTTCCATAGAGGTGCTAAACTACAACTTTCATCAACCCAGGGCAACAGTCATGAGAATTGTAGTCCAACACATTTGGAAGTCACCAAGTGAGGGAAGGCTAGTTCTAAGCGGTTCATAAAACTGTTAAAACTGACCAACAGGTTTAATCACAATATTTTCTTATTTTGTAATGTATGTGTTACTGTTTATTTCCTTACATTTCCTACTTGGTTCTTTTTACATGATTTGTTCTCATCATTTAAAGGATTCCAATCAAAACAGGAAAGGGGTAGATTGGTTCTGAATCTGGGACCAATCAACCCCCTTAGTGAGATTGAGAATCCTGTTCCTTTTGCGGGTTGGGTGAGTTCACAAAATATTATAAATCTCAGTATTAGTTTGTATAAAGGTATAGTGGGTGGGAGGGGGGTGGGTGGGAGAATGGACATTATAAACGGCTACAGACTTTTGTATCAACGCATGAATCGAGTAAATAAACTCAGATGCATGAAGTTGTGTCAAGTGATTATTCTGAGAAAACTGGGGGAAGTTCAACCCATGTGCCCTCATCAGCCTGTGTAAATTCACAGCCTTTTAAAACCCACAAAGAAAACCAAAAATGAACACTCTTGTTAAAACAGACGTGTTTATTTCTCACATTGTTCTGTTTCTATTAGTCATAGCAAGCAATTATATAGCCTTAGGTACTGACAATTTTGGCTTTTACATCACCCAAAAATTTTCAAATGGATGGCTGGAGCTACTGGAGCAGAAACTTTAAATAAGACCCCAAGAGAAGTGAGCTGCCCTCAGCAATTATAAGGCAACCAATAGATGTAGCCAAGAATTGGAAAACTTGTCCTCATGAGCCAATCTCTCAGTGCAAATAAATTCAGGGAATAAAGTAATACAACATATGAAACCTAATCACAAAAATAAAGCCTGGCATAGAAATCTTGGAAATTGGAAACAATGTCAGACACATTACAAAATAATGGACATAGTACAGGTAGTCCTCAACTTACGACCACAGTTGAGACTGGAACTTCAGTTGCTAAGCAATAGAGTTAAGTGAGTTGTGCCTGATTTTACTTTTTTTTTTTTTGCTGTGGCTCTTAAGCGAATCTGGCTTCCCCCATTGACTTTGCTTGTTGGAAGCCCCCTGGGAAGGTCACAAATGGCAATCACATGACCTGGGATTTTGCAACTGTTGTAAACTGCTGGTTGCCAAGTGCCCAAATTTTGATCACGTGGCTGTAGGGACACTGTGATGGTCATAAGTGCAAGGACCAGTTGTCATTTTTTTCAGCGGTCATAACTTTGGTTGTTAAATAAATGGTTGTAAGTAAAGGACTACCTGGTCACAGACCACTAATTTACCAGAGGACAAATTAACCCTATTTCCTACAAAGCAGTCAATC